TCTTTACAGACACCGGACTGCTCGTATGTAAACGGCCATCGCTGGCTGTTTAACATTCTGGCGGTTTCCTGCACGTGCGGGCACGAAGGATGTTTAACCAGTTGACATCCGCGTTGTTAAACCCCCTTCCCATCCAGGCCATTTTTACGCCCACCCGCATCCAGAAGACTGCCGTCCGGCCGTTTCTGAACGTTCGGCGGACAGGAGGAGGTTAAAGTGCACCTGTCTTTCAAATTCTCACTCAATGAATACATAAACCCTGACAAAGAGGGATTGGGAAGCTTTGACAAATAGATGACATGAGACGCCTAGCACACTGTGGCAAAAAATGCCACACTCAGGGATCTCAAGTCTCCCTGATGTTCAGGGAGTCTCCCTCTTTTGGACAGTAGCTCCCTGATGTCCGCGAGAGAGGCATTTTCTCCCTGAAAGGTTTACTCTGAGTAAGATATCAGTGGGTAAAGTTTCAGAGTGAGGCTTGCCTCTTGGAGGAAGGTCATGTGAGAGTAGCCTCAGAACGAGGCTTGGCTCTCAGAAGGAAGAAGCTACTTGCTGCACAGAGAGGGCGGACATAGACTACTATTGAGAGCAGGTACAGGCACTGCTGCAGGGTTGAGAGAGTACTGTTAACCCTTTGTGGATAATATAGAATTAATTATATGTCCTGGTTGTCTAGTTATAGAGAACAATTATTTCATTTGCTGCCCATAGCAACTAGTCAACTGTGTATCAGGGACTTTACTCCTCGGCGTTTTTTTAAAAAGGTCTTGGGCTGTCTAATAAATTGTGATCTTTACACTGACCGATACTTGAACATCAATTCACAAATCTGATGTATATATAAATAAATATATTGTATTATTGGTATATGGATTTTATTTTACTCTGTGTGTATGTATATGTGTGTGTGTATATATTATCATTATTATTTCTTTTATATTCTGACGACGGCCGCTGTAAAAAAAAAAAACAAAAAACAGAAAGGGCACCTCCCTGAAATGAGATGGGAACCTCCCTGAAATAAGGTTTTGCAGGTTGGAATGTCTGCACACTGCGCTGATTATTGTGCTAAGCTTAAAGTGTATCTATTGTAATATGTTTTAGTTTTGGATAGAGTGTGGAAGGATTACAATTACTGTAGGGTTTATTGTTGTCTGAGGATCTGCTGGAGAGATTCCTTTACTTCCTCTCTGGTCAGGGCCAGATTAAGAGCATCACGGGCCTGGTGCTGAGGATCTTGGTGGGCCTTTTTATGGAAATGGCAACGGTCACCGGGGCCCTCTTCCTCCTGTCCGGGCTGTGATTTGTAGTCTCTCTACAGCTGGGAGTCAGTGGTGGAGCGCCAGAACCTGGTTGCAGCTGCAACCCTAGTAGATCTGCCACTGACTCCAAGCTGTAGAGAGACTAGAAATCTTAGCAATACATTATGCAGCAATGCAGAATACCGCCAACTATAGAGGACTACAAATCCCAGTAAGACATTACACAGAAATTCAGAATATCACCAGCTATAGAGGACTATAAATCCCAGCAATAAATTATACAGCAATGCAGAATATTACCACTATGTGGTTACCAATATGACTCCTTTTGAAAAAGTTAAATCAACGAAACGCGTCAAGGAATATCTGTCTTCGCCGCTTACAGCTGACATCCTTTTAAACGATTTTAAGCAAGGCGCGTCAGTGCGGGCTCCAGGGGGGTCAGTGCGGGCTTCAGGCGGTCGGTGCGGGCTCCTGGTTATCAGTGCAGGCTCCAGGCGATCAGTGTAGGCTCCAGGAGGTCAGTGTGGGCTGCGGGGGCTCAGTGCGGGCTCCTGGGAGGGTCAGTGCAGGCTCCAGGAGTGGTCAGTCCAGGCTCCAGGGGGTCAGAGAGACTGACGACTGCAGCCGCAGCAGATGCGGCTCTCTGCTCAGGCATATCAGAGGGTCAATGCGGGTCGTCCCAGCCGCGATGCGGGTTAGTTAGGCCCGGGCCTATTTGCAGGAAAGGGCCTGGAGCAGGAACTCCACCTGCCCATATGTTAATCTGGCCCTGTGTCTGGTAAACCGTTTGTCACCCAGAAGTGAAGGGAATTCTCTCTAACAGCAACACAGACAGAAGTATTAATGTTCTATTTTTTAAGTTAAGTACAGGAATTCTAAAACTCTTGTCAGCTTTTAATTTTCTATTTCCCTGTTGCAGATTTTCTCTCACTTCCTGTCTAGTAAAAGGTTCTCCCCAGGACAGGATGTGAGGAAAAATCTCTCCAACAGAGCTTCAGATAACAGTAAAACCTGAGAGGAGTTCTAACCTTTTACCATTCTATTTGTGTAATCTTTATTTATATGTGTATATATATATATACATATATATTAGGGCTGGTAATGATTAAAAATGTCCTGTTCGATTAATAGAAACTTTTTTTAATCGATTAATTTCGATTAATTATAACGCACATACACATCCAACTACATTGGCCTATACACATACAGCACAGCAATAAAGTAATAAAATGAACTAGGATCACACTAATCCAGCACGTTATTAATCTCACGTGCCCCACTCAATATGGCCGCCGCTTGAGTGGGGCAACTCAGAATAATAACGTGCTGGATTAGTGTGATCCTAGTTTATTTTATTACTTCATTGCTGTGCTGTATGTGTATAGGCCAATGCCAGGGATCCCAACCTGAAATAAGCAATTTCAGGGAAGTGTCCCTCTCATTTCAGGGAGGTGCCCTCTCCCCCGCATCCGCGGAGGGGAGGTTAGGGGGGGCTGGGAGAGAGCACCCCCCTGAAATGATGGCAGATAGCACAGGAAGCAATAGCTTCTTTGCTATCTGCAGACTTTTTTTTTTTTTGCAGTTGTCAGAATAATAAAAAAAAGGCATAAGAATGCATAGCTAGATTCCTATTGGCTATTTCACTTTGCAATAGCCTATAGCAAACTAGCTATTGCACCCGCCCCCTGCTGCTTTCAATCACCAGAAGAGGACCTGATATAAAAATTCAGGTCCCCCTCTGCTGATTGACAGCAGAAGTGGGCGGGTGCATTAGCTAGTTTTCTATTGGCTATTGCAAATAGCCAATAGTAATCTAGCTATGCAATCGTATGCCTTTT